CAAGGGTAAAGCAGGAGCGGGGTCCCTCACCCTCATCCTCATCCTCATCCTCATCCTCATCCTCACCCTCATCCTCATCCTCATCCTCATCCTCATCCTCATCCCTGCTGCTGTGGGACCTCGGGGTGAGCTGGAGCTGTGGGCACCGGGCTGGGGCTGCTCCCAGGGCTGCTCCTGTCCCTCGTCCCTCAGAACAATCAGAACAATCTCGAGTTCCGCACTTCGGGCCCAGGGCCGCTCCTGCCCCTCAGAACAATCCCGAGTTCCACACACCGGGCCCAGGGCCGCTCCTGCCCCTCGGGGTGCCCAGAGCTGCACACACCGAGCCCGGGGCCGCTCCTGCCCCTCAGAACAACCAGAACAATCCCGAGTTCCACACACCGGGCCCAGGGCCGCTCCTGCCCCTCGGGGTGCCCGCAGCTCTCGCTGCCTCTCCCCGCCCGGATCCACCCATGGAAATTGCGAAACCCTTTCAGTTTTGCAGGGAGAGGCCCCCCCAGGGCGGCTCTTGGGCCCGAACTCCGACTCCGGAGCTATTTTGGGGTGTGAGGGAAGCAGGGAGAGTGTTTGCTTTGTAACCAGAATGCTGCGAGAGCTTAAAACTGTCGTGTGGGAAAGCAGGCCAAGAGCCCGGGCCATAAAACCTGCTCTGGAGGCACAACACCCTCACGCTTCGCGGGCCTGACAAAGCAAAGCAAACCCAACTGTATAAACTGGAATATTGGCAGGGAACCCGCTGGAAACGAATCCCCCCCGGCCACAGCGTGTTTAACCAGAAACCTCAGCCAGGCCCCTCGGGCTGGGCCTTTCTGGGTGCTCGGGCTCCGAGAGCATCCCCAAAAAGCCAAAACCCACAGCCGCGGGGTGTCGGAGATGCGCAAACCCCCATTCCTTGCTGGGAAGTGCCTTAGGACAGCTTTGGGCAGCCCACTGCTGTCAGAGCCGCTCACCTGGCCCTCAGGTGAGCCCACCGAGGGTCCCGGAGCTCCCCAGGAGCAGAGGGCCCGATGTGGGGACGGACAGGGGCATTGCCACCGCGCTGTCACCCCAAAGCAAAGCCAGACACCGACCTGGCCTCGGCCAGAGCCCCTGGACAGCGACTGGGAGCGCCTGGGCCCTGTCTGGGGGCAGCCGGGGGCTCTGGGGCCTGCGGAGCCAAGGGGAGTCCCTGAGGCTGGAGCGGCCTCCAGAGCTCCGAGTGTCTGCCAGGAGCTCCGAGACAGCTCCAGAGGCTCCGAGACAGCTCCAGGAGCTCCGAGTGTCTGCCAGGAGCTCCGAGACAGCTCCAGGAGCTCTGAGACACCTCCAGGAGCTCCGAGTGTCTGCCAGGAGCTCCGAGACACCTCCAGGAGCTCCGAGACAGCTCCAGGAGCTCTGAGACACCTCCAGGAGCTCCGAGTGTCTGCCAGGAGCTCCGAGACAGCTCCAGGAGCTCCGAGACAGCTCCAGGAGCTCTGAGACACCTCCAGGAGCTCCGAGTGTCTGCCAGGAGCTCCGAGACAGCTCCAGGAGCTCCGAGACAGCTCCAGAGGCTCCGAGACACCTCCAGGAGCTCCGAGTGTCTGCCAGGAGCTCCGAGACACCTCCAGGAGCTCTGAGACACCTCTGGGGGCTCCGAGACAGCTCCAGGAGCTCTGAGACAGCTCCAGAGGCTCTGAGACAGCTCCAGGAGCTCCGAGACAGCTCCAGAAGCTCCGAGACAGCTCCAGAGGCTCCGAGACAGCTCCAGAGGCTCCGAGACACCTCCAGGAGCTCCGAGACAGCTCCAGAGGCTCCGAGACACCTCCAGGAGCTCCGAGACACCTCCAGGAGCTCCGAGACAGCTCCAGGAGCTCTGAGACAGCTCCAGGAGCTCCGAGACACCTCCAGGAGCTCCGAGACAGCTCCAGAGGCTCCGAGACAGCTCCAGAGGCTCCGAGACACCTCCAGGAGCTCCGAGACAGCTCCAGAGGCTCCGAGACAGCTCTGGGAGCTCTGCGTGTCCCTGAGGAGCTCTGAGCATCCCCAAGGAGCTCCGACCCACCTCCAGGAGCTCCGAGCCGCCTCCAGGATCTGCCAGCCCCGTCAGACCCGGAGCTCCGGCTGCCCCCAGCGCACGCCCTGTGCCTGACCCAGGCACAATGCACACCCACAGCCCAGACTGGCACACCCACAGCCCAGATTGCCGCAGGAGAAGGAAGGTTTCCTCCCCACATTGCAGGAGGTTTCCTCCCCACACTGCAGGAGAAGGAAGGTTTCCTCCCCACATTGCAGGAGGAGGAAGGTTTCCTCCCCACATTGCAGGAGGTTTCCTCCCCACACTGCAGGAGAAGGAAGGTTTCCTCCCCACACTGCAGGAGAAGGAAGCTTTCCTCCCCACATTGCAGGAGGTTTCCTCCCCACACAGCAGGAGAAGGAAGCTTTCCTCCCCGAGCAGCGATCCGTTTCCCAGCAGGATCCGGGGCGGCCTCGGCGCGGGCAATCCATCTCGGCGCTGCCGACATCTACGGCAGCGCGGGGCAATCGCTCAGCTTTAGGGCAGCAAGGGGAGGCCCGGCGGAGCGCGGCGCCCGCCCGGCCCCGCAGTTACGGCTCGGCCGCGCGCGGAGCGGTATTTTACCTCGGAAATGCCTGAGTGACCCAGAAACCCCAGTCCCATTTCCTGAAATTATTTCACCACTTCAGAGCCCTTGTTTCAATGAAAGCTGCTGCAAACGAGGCACGAGAGCCCCGAGCTGAGCTGGAACACATTTTCCCTGCCTGATGTGCGTGTGGGGATGGGTTTGAAGGGAAGAGCAAAGTCAGGGCTGGGAGCCTGGGGTGATAACGGGCACCCGGATAAGAACCCTGCCATGAACCCCAATAACGGAGCCAGGGCACACAGGGACATAAACCACCCTGCCATGAACCCCAATAACGGAGCCCGGGCACACAGGGAGCCCCAAACCGACACAAACATTCTGTCCCACCTGTTGTTATCCCATCCCACCTGGGCACTTCCCTCCATTCGGCTTCTGGAGGCTTTTAGGGTGCCAATGTTTGATGCACCAGCCCTGAAAATCCGAGGGGAGAGAGAAACGCTCCAGGCAGAAGGGACTGCAGAAAGGGGGTTTGTAGAAAAGGGGGTCTGCAGAAAGGGGGTCTGCAGAAATCCCAGGCGCTGCATCCATGGTTTGAGCTGTGCTCTGGCGGGCAGCAAAGCCCCCGTTCCCCCACAGAACCTCACAACTCCAAGTGAACTTTATGGGATGGAGCACCGGCACCCTAAAGGGATCCTGAGCATTTTGGGGACAGGGAGACGCCAAAAAAAATGGGAAAATAAAGGAAAGGTGAGGGACAAGGATGGGGAGCACCCCTTGGGAATTCCTCACCACCCCCAAGCTGTCCTGGCTGCAGCACAGCTCGTGCTGAACGAGGGGGGAAAAACAGTTTGGGAAATCTGGCCCCATTCACAGTGCCAGGAATGGGAATAGAAGGGGAAAGAAACAGAAAGGGAAAGAAAAAGAAGGGGAAGGAAAAAGAAGGGAAGGAAAGAGGAGGGGAAGGAAAGAGAAGGGAAGGAAAGAGAAGGGAAGGAAAGAGAAGGCCCCAAGCGAGTGCGAGGATAAACAAACCCCAACAGGCGCAGCAGCCCCACGTGGGACGCGGCAGAAAGGAGCCCACAGCCAGCGGCGAGGCAGAGCCGCTGCCCTGACACACGGAGCCATGCGTGGGCACCTGCCCAGGTGTGCTCGGCGCCCCGGGAGCGCCCGCCCAGCACAGGCACCTGCCCCGGGAATGAGGAACCCCGAGAAAGCAGAAACAAAACAGAAACAAAGCGCGTCACAGAGCCTGGACACAGCGAGAGAGGAATCTCAGAGGGAGTCCGGCATTCCCAGAGCTTGTGAGAGCCTGCTCCTGCTCCCAGACAGCCAGGGCTCCGGACACGGCCCGGGGATGCAGGAAAACACGGATGAATCCCGGGAAAAGGCCGGAACTCCTGGTGGACACAACCCACTGGGGAAGTGCCCACGGTCCCACAGCTCAGGACCACCAGGACACCCAAATTCACAGGAAAAGGGCTGGGTTTGGGTTCCCAAAGCAGGCAGGGCTGTGGGAGAGCGCCTGCCCAGTGAAACCCCAACTAACCCAGAGCAGCAGGAGCAAAACCCTTCCCTGAGCGGAGCTGAGCCCGCTGGGGATGGAGCTGGAGCAGGGCTGGGCCCAGGAGCGGAAACGAGCAGGGATGGGACCCCCTCTTCAGATAGCAGGGATGGGACCCCGGGATGGGACCACTCTTCAGAGATGGGACCCCCTCTTCAGATAGCAGGGATGGGACCCCTCCTCAGGAATGGGACCCCTCCTCAGGGAAGGGACCCTGCCCCAAGGACCCCGCTGCTCTGAGCCCCCTGCCCACCCTGCACCTGCACCTCACTGGGGTGCAGGTGAGCCCCGCAGCCCCCAGCCCAGCCCTCAATCCCCCCGATGGAGAACAAGCTCCTCAACCCCCAATTCCCGATATGGAGGAAGAGCCCCCGGCCCCTGCTGCTGCTGCTGCTCCGTTCCCCAGCGCCAGGGCAGGCACCGACCGCAGCTGCCCAAACACTGCCCAGCTCCTCCCCACTCCCCGGGAGGACGGAGCCCCGATGCTCCCCTCAGCCCCTCACAGACCCTGCCCCATTCTCTCAGCCCGGTTCCCCCTCCCCATTCCGGGGCTCCCCCCGGCACCGCCCGGGCCCCTCGCTGCTCCTCGGCCCCGCCCCAGGGCGGGGCTTGGCCGCATAGCGGCGCCTCCCTCGCCCGCCATTGGCCGCCGCTCCCGCCGCTCAGGGGCGGCGCGCGATGAGATTGGCCGCGGCGCGCTGCCACTCAGCGCGGGGGCGGGGCGGGCGGAGCCGCCGCCGCACGAAAACCCGGGGAGAGTTGTGGGGGGAGGGGCCGGCCGGGGCTCCCGCCGCCCCCGGAGCTGCCCCGGCGCCGCCGCCGCCGCCGCGGAAGCGCTCGGGACGGCCCCGCTCCCGCCGGGCCGGCGCCGCCGTTACCTGAGGGAGCCGGGCCGGGTCCTCGCGCTGGCGCCGCTCGCGCTGGGGCTCCCCCCGCCCCGCGCGCCAGGCTCTCGCGAGACCCGCGCGGGGGTAACGGCGCGGCGGCCAATGGGACGCGCCGGGGGCGGGGCCTCGGGGGCGAAGGGGCGTGGCTCTCACGCACGGTGGGCGTGGTCAGCGATAGGCCCCGCCCTGGAGGCCCCGCGGGGATCGCGACACGTGGGGAGAGGGGACAGACCCGGGACAGAGCCGGGATAGCCTGGGACAGACCGGGATAGACCCGGGACAGAGCCGGGATAGCCTGGGACAGACCGGGACAGAGCCGGGATAGCCTGGGACAGACCGGGATAGACCCGGGACAGAGCCGGGATAGCCTGGGACAGACCGGGACAGAGCCGAGATAGCCTGGGACAGACCGGGACAGATCTGGGATAGCCTGGGACAGACCGGGATAGACCCGGGACAGACTGGGATAGCCTGGGACAGACCGGCACAGCCTGCGACAGACCCGGGACAGGCCCGGGACAGCCCGGAACAGACCCGGGACACCCCGGCTCACAGGCACCCCCCGAATCCCGGGCCTGGCCCTCTGGCACACCCCAAAGCCCGGAGGACACGGCCGGCACTGTCCCCCCAGCACTGGGGACACCCCAAAGCCGGGAAGGGGCTGGCAGACAGGTGACACTGCCAGGGCCACCAAGGAGACACGAGCAGCTCCGAGTGTCACCGAACCGTGTTTACTGCCGTCCGTGCCGCTGTCACACGGCGTGGAGGATGAGGAAGGCCGCCGTGAGAGAGAAGAGCCCCATGGCCTCGGACAGGCCGAAGCCCCGGATGGTGCAGAAGAGCGGCTGCTTCAGAGAGGGGGTCCTGGGGGGCACGGCCACCTGTCACCCCCAGAGCCCTTGTCCCCTTCATAACCCCCTGTCCCCTGTCTGTCCCTGTCCCCCCGTCCGTCCCCACCCACGGGGCCGAGGCTCGGGGCCTGCGGCCCCACGGGTGCCCCCGGCTCGGGGGTCACGCAGGGCGGGGCACACACGGGAGGGGCAGGGCGTGCCGCTGTCACCCAGGTGTCCCCTCACGGCGGCGGCACCGCGGTGGTGGCACCGTGCGCCCAGGGACGGAGGTGCCGCTGCAGGTGTCACCGGCGGTGCGGCAGCGGAGCCCCCGGGCCCAGACGGGCCCCGGGGGTGTCGGGCACACCTGGGGGGCTCTCGGTGTCCCCGGGGGGCTCTCGGTGTTCCCGGGGCTCTCGGTGTCCCCGGGCTCTCGGTGTCCCCTCACGGTCTGTCCCCGCCCCTCTGTGTCCCCCCCCCCGCTCTCACCGGGCTCCGCCGGGCAGGTCGCGGCCTCTCCATGTGCGCATGCGCGGCCGGGGATTTGGACTGCGCCCCCTGCCGGACGGGAGGACTCGGAGCGGCGCGGAGGAGGCGGGGCCTGGAGTGGGGTGGGCGGGGCCAGACTGCGCGCGCCCTCTGGCGGGGAAACGGGGGAGCGCAGGTGTGCGCACCTGGGGAGACACGTGACCCGTGAGCGTGCGTGTGACACCTGTGTGTGAGTGTGACACGTGTGTGTGTGTGTGAGTGTGTGAGTGTGACACGTGTGTGAGTGTGTGTGTGAGTGTGTGTGTGTGTGAGTGTGTGTGTGTGTGTGTGTGTGTGTGAGTGTGACACCGTGTCCCCACCACCGTGTCCCCCCGTGTCACCGGGGGTGCAGGCAGGTCACAGTGTCACCCCCAGGTGCTGCGTCCCCCTCCTGGGCGCAGTGTCCCCCCTCAGGTCTATGTCCCCCCGCAGATGGTGTGTCCCCCGCCTTGGGGACACCGTCACCCCCCAGGTGCTGTCCCCCCCCCCGCCTTGGGGACACTGCCCCCCCCCCGTCCTGTGTCACCCCCCTTGGGGACCCCGCCACCCCCCCGTCCGCGGCTCTCAGTGGCGCTGCTGCCGTCACGGCCGTTAATTAAAGCCGGCGATAATTAACGGCCGCGAGCGGGAAATCGATGCGGAGGAGCCGCGGCTGGGGGGGCTCCGGCTCCGGCGGGGGGGGGACCCCGACCCCCGACCCGGCCCGGGCACCGCGGGCAGCGACCGGAGCCGAGGCTGCTCGGGGGGGGAACACCGGCACCGGGGGGACGCGGGGGGACAGCGGAACCGGCACCGGGGACACCGGCACCGGGGGGACACGGGGGACAGCGGAACCGGCACCGGGGACACCGGCACCGGGGGGACGCGGGGGGACAGCGGCAGGGCCCGGGGAGCCGCGGGGCTTTGGGGGATTTCGGGGGTTTTGGGTTTGGGGGATTTCGGGGGTTTTGGGTTTGGGGCGCTTTCGGGGGTTTTGGGTTCGGGCAGGAGCGGCAGAGCCGGGCTGTGAAAATGGCCGGAAACGGCCCCAAAAAGGAGTCAGAACTGCCGGGAAGGGGGAGTCTGGTCCCAAAATGGGGGCTCTGATCCCAAAATGGGGGTTCTGATCTCAGAATTGGGGTTCTGATCCCAAAATGGGGGTTCTGATCCCAAAATGGAGGTTCTGATCCCCCCTGGGAATGGGGGTTTCACTGCAGAAATTGGGATTTCTCCCCCAGAACTGGGGTTCCTCCCCCAGGATTTGGGATTTGGGATTTTTCACCCAGGATTTGGGATTTATCCCTCAGAATTGGGATTTATCCCCCAGGATTTGGGGTTCCTCCCGCAGAATTGGGGTTTCTCACTCAGGATTTGGGGCTCCTTTCTCAGGATTTGGGTCTGGGGTCCCTTTTGGGGCGGGCTGTGCTCACTGGCCCCGCTCAGCTCTGCCCGCCCCAGCTCAGGATTTGCTTTCCCGTGATTTTTTTCCCTTTTTTTATTTTTTTTAATTTTTTTTTTTTTTTACACGCTCTTTTATGACAAACTTTCCTTTCCGCCTGACATTTAAAGGCTGATCAGATCTTCCCTGCAGGACGGGGAGGGGGGGAAAATGGGGAAATTTATGGGGAAATTTAATGGGAAATTTATTGGGGCCGGAGATTGACTCCGACAGCGCCGGGAGCGGAGCAGGGACAGCGGGAATTATTTGGGAATTTGGGAATTATTTGGGAATTTGGGAATTCTGGGCCAGGAGCGGGGCAGGGACAGCGGGAATTATTTGGGAATTCTGGGCCGAGAGCAGGACAGGGACTGTGGGATTTATTTGGGAATTTGGGATTTTGGGAATTTGGGATTTTGGGAATTCTGGGCCGGGAGCGGGGCAGGGCCTGTGGGAAATTCCCAGCCCTGAATCCCCAACTCCCAGTTCCCAACCCCGAATTCCCAACCCCGAATTCCTGACCCTAAATCCCCAATTTCCAATTCCCAACCCCAAATTCCCAATTCCCAACCCCAAAATTCCCAACCCTGAATCCCCAAACTCCCAGTCCCCAATTCCCAACCCTGAATCCCCAAATTCCCAATTCCCAACCCCAAATTCCCCCCAGTGCCCCCAAACCCCCCAAAATTCCCCCAAATCCCCCAAATCCCCCCAAATCCCCCACTCTCTCCCCTGTCCCCCGTCTGTCCCCGTGTCCCGTTTGTCCCCCGGGAGGGGGCGGCGCAGCCCGGCACGGTTTCCATGGCAACGTGCGGGGGAAAAAAAATCCGAACTATGGAAAAAAAAATAAAAAACCTGAAAACGGCGTCAGGGGCGGCGCGAGCGGCTCGGGGCCATTTGTGTGCAGCGAGAAAAACCCAAACTGCGGAAAATTCAGCGGCGGGGGAGGGGAACCAGGGGGAGGGGGACACCGAGACAGGGGAACGGGAGGCAGAAATCCCTTTTTCCCTGTTTTTCTCCTTTTTTTCCCCTTTCCCCCCCATTTTCCCCCGTTTTTCCTCTATTTTCCCCCTTTTTTCCTCTATTTTCCCCCTTTTTCTCTATTTTCCCCATTTTTCTCTTTTTTTCCTCTTTTGTTCCCTTATCTTCCTTCCTTCCTTCCTTCCTTCCTTCCTTCCTTCCTTCCTTCCTTCCTATCCCCCCAAAATCCCAGTTTCTCCCCCAAAATCCCGATTCCCCCCCCAATCCAATTTCCTCTCCCCAAAATCCTAATTTTACCCCCCAAAATCCCATATCCCCCCCAAATCCCAATTTTCCCCCCAAATCCCAAACATGCCCCCCCCAAAAATCCCAATTTTCCCCCCAAATCCCATTTTCCCCCCCAAAATCCCATTTTTTCCCCCAAAATCCCAAATCCCCCCCCCAAAATCCCATTTCCCCCCCAAATCATAAATATCCCCCCAAAAAACCCATTCCCCCCCCTAAAATCCCAAATATCCCCCCAAAAATGACAGATTTCCCCCCAAATACCAATATTCCCCTAAAATCCAAATCCCCCCCCCCAAAATCCCAATATGCCCACCCAAAATCCTAATTTTCCCCCCAAAATCCCGATTTTTTCGCCCAAAATCCCATTTTTGTCCCCCAAAATCCCAATTTCACCCCCCAAAATCCCGTTTTCCCCCCAAAACTGGAATTTTCCTCCCTCCTTTTCTCCCGGCTCAGGAGGTGCAGCCTCCCCGGCCCTCCCGCCCCTCTCGTTTTTCATTTTTATTTCCTGCTGGAAGTGACAAATTGTTCCCGATTTTACACCCGGGCACGGGGGGGCTGCGGATGCCATTTTTTCTTTCTTTTTTTTTTTTTTTCCCTTTTTTTTCCCCCGTTTCTACCTCGGAAAGAAAAGAGAAAAAAACCAAAATAAAAGCCATAAAAGGCAATAATAAAATAAAAATTCCCCGTTAAAGAACCTGAAAGCAGCTCGGCGCTGGTAACGAGCGCCGCAGAGAGGCTCCACAAACAGAATTTCCCCCGCCCCAAAATCCGCTTTTATTGCCTCAAAATCGCCGGGGGGAAACTCTGCCTCCCCCAGCAGGTGCAGACACCCCAAAATCCCTTCAATTCCCCCAAAACGGCGCTGAAAAAGGAAAAAATGGTGATTTTCTTTAAAAATCTGATTTTTTCCTCTGTTTTCCTCGTGCGCAGGTTGGGTTTTTCTGCTGAAAATCCCCAATTCCAGCGGGATTTGAATGGTCTTGGAAAAGGTCGGGAAATGTT